TGGCATGAATCCTCTCGATGTTGACATTGTATTTCTGTAGTTGAAATGGCAATGAAATGTTGACATCCATGATCCACCCTCATTTCATTTCTTTCTTTCTTTCTTTCTTTTCCGTTTGGACACACAACAATCTTGCCCTGGTCTGGCCTGGCTATTTGCTTTGATAAGATCTTGTCATCTTGTTGAAATATTTATCACTCTTATCATTTTAAACGGGTCCCTTATCAAAGTTAGTTTCTTGTTTTTAAGGAAAAAAGATAGTGAGATGGTTTCATATATGTATTAAATATGTGTATTAAATGGAGTATTTATTAACTATTCTAAGTAGCACTTTGATACTTGAAGGGTGAAGAATTGTTCTTGCATATGGAAGGTATCGAGAACCCCCTAAGGGTTTGGGATAATGGAGTCCTTGAACTTTTTATTCACATATGTAAATTTATCTATGATTAGATATGGAGTTTTTGTTTTGTTAATTCAGTGCGTTATATACACTTCTATCCCTAATATTTTGTTCAGTATCGGTATATACCAAATATCAAATTTATTCCCTTCAAAATTATAATTAAAAATATAAAAACAAATACTTTCCTCTGCAAGCAGCTCCACAAAGCATTATCAAAATATATAAAAGTAGAAAATGGTGCCACCACTCATGCAAAACAAATGGGAAATTCTCAATTCTAAGTAGTCCATAAACATACCACAAGTAACAAAATGGACTTTTTCTTGGTTGCCAAATAGTAAGGTAATGGGCTATGTATAATTATGTGGCCAGAACCCCAAAGGGGTTGGACTACTGGTAATGTGAAGATAAGAACATCCACACACTCTGAGTTCGAACCTTGGGACAAACAACCAATGGAAAAAAGGTGGTCATTTTGATTGTCGATGAAGCGGTTCAAATACACACGAGCTTATTCAGTATTGCTTGATATTTTGGTATATACAATTCACAATCTCGCAATCCATATTAACAAACAACATTTGAAATTCATTCGCAATTGCAATCACAATCACATGAAATAATACGTATATTTGGCAAATATCGACAATTTCGATATAGTACTCAGTATATTTCAAATACTTATACCAAACTTCCAGTTCTAAATATGCGGGACAAGACCACATTCATCGAAACTTCTCACAAGTATTCCTCCATATGGTTTCATTACGGGTAAATAGAACAAAATTTCCTCATTTCAAACCAAGAAAAGTCAAAGATCCACAAGTACAAGTATAATTTTGATCACTATGCCCAAACAGAACTCCTGAGCACAACTTCAATTTCTTTCAGTTGTTTTGCATATTCCCCCCCCCCCCCCCCCCCCTTCTCTCCTATACTTGGTTTGGTACCATTGCCTCATTAAATATATAGAAGGACCTGTGCTACAAAGTTAGGAATAAACTACGCTTGCGTTAAATTATCGACACAGAGCGTTTGTAGTCCAACGGTTAGGATAATTGCCTTCCAAGCAATAGACCCGGGTTCGACTCCCGGCAGACGCATAATGTTTTTTATAGCTGGATCGGAAAAGCGTTGATGGCCTGATCTTTCTCCCGGCAGACGCATAATGTTTTTTATAGCTGGATCGGAAAAGCGTTGATGGCCTGATCTTTCTGCTAGAAGTCGAAGCCATTTGAACCAAGGCAAGGTGCCAAGGTGGGACCTGTTGGATGTTCATCTTTTTGTTAGCCTTTCCACCTCCTTCATCGGTGTTCCTCTGTTCATCCTCCCAGCAAATGCAATTGCTCCTCTTCGCAGGCTAGCAGCTGCAACTGCAGCTCCATTCAGGGGCTGTTTGCCTGGCTCATCCTCCAGCAATGTTCCAATCAATGAAATAATATTTTGTTATGTATGAGAAAGATCTGCGCAGCTCCTAATGTTTTGGTTGTGTTGTGTAGCAGATCCAAACTTAGTTTTGAGACTGTAACTCTGTAAGTGAACAGCCCCCCGGCAGGCGTACTTTACTTGTAAATGGAAGTGTAACTAAGCAGACAGATCCAACCCATTAAGTGAACTGTGAAAGTCATCAACAAACGAAACCAAACCACCCAGCCTTTTTCTGACAGCTGCTTAACCAGTTGCGTTCATTGATGAGATACAAAAGAAACCAGTACCAAAACCCCAAAAGAACAACATAACAATCCTTCAAATGTTTCGCCCCACATCATCAATGACTCCTTGTTTAATTTAGACTCCATTGATGGATGCTGAACTCTGGAAAAATTCTACATCTTCCTAGCACTCTCGATCCGACAATGCAAAACCTCAAATGCCAAAGCCAAAAACTGCACGTATCTTGTGGAAGATGAGATCCCTCCATCCCCTCTCCGTGTTCTCCACCACTGTTGCATTGCCATATCTGCATCAAGACACCAAACACAGCTCATCAATGGTGGAACTATCAACGACCACACACATGAAGGATAATTCAAACCCAATATATACGATAACAAACCTGTCTTCCTCTGGTATATCGGTGTGAGTCAGCTTCACTATAGTCACTCCAGGCTCTGGTTCATCTAACACAAGTTTCACCTGCATTTAAAAAATCATTCAACAATCGCTCTCGAATTGCATAGCAGACAAATCCCAGAAACCGCAACTCAATCAATGAGGGCCATTCATTGCTTACCGTGGAGATCATCCCATCAGGCCAACTCCCAAACCTCCACTTCTGCACGATCAATTTCCCAGCTTGCAGCTCCACGTTGTTCCCTGTCACAGACCCATCAAAAATGGCAAACTCGCCTCCAACTTCCTTACTAATCTTGGCATTGCTCTGCGTAAAACCTTTCCACCTGTTCTCATCCATCAGTATCTCGTACAAATCCTTCGCCCTGCAGCTGAACTTCTCCGTCAAGCTTATCGACTTGAACCCTTTCCTGTTGGTCTCTTTAACCTTCTTCTCCACCACCGGAGCGGTGGCGGCAGCGGCTCCCGAATCCTTCTTCCCCGCCGTCGTCGATTGCGCCTTGGGCGCGACCTTCTTGGCCTCCAATTCGTCCTTAGCAGGACCACCCTGTGCCATAGTCTGGACATAAACCCTAACCTTCTCCTCAATCACCGGTTTCCCCTTGGCCAGCATGGCCTCCTTCAATCTCCTCCCGATCGGGCCGTCGTCCCTCACCGTAACCCTAATTTCGGGATCCTCATCCGCGTTCTCGTCGGAGATGTAAGGGATATCCACAGATCCGTCGACTTTGAGCAAGGACTTGCCGTCGGCGTCTTTCGCCTCGCCTTCCCAGGAAAGAGCGACGCTGAGCTCGTATCCAGGGATGATTTTCCCCTTGCGGATGTTGACGTAGGCCTCGCCCTCGACCTTCTCGATGTTCTTGGTGCGGATGAAGAGGTTTCCTTCGCCATCGAGGAGGGTGAGGTTAGCGAGGAGCTTGGAGAGGAGATTGCGGGACCATTCGAGGCAGTCGGTCTCCGACCAGTGCCAGTTGTGGACGTTGGTGCCGTCGGTGCGGTCTTGGACGATCCAGCGCTTGTCTCCTTCTCCGAACTTCGCCATTGGTGGGGAGCTTAGTGAATTGCGTGGTGAGCTCGAGATTGATTCTGCGAGTAGATGTGGGGATTTGCAATTGCAGGGATTGGGTGGAACAATGGAGGCGGAGAGGATTAATATTGGGGAAAGACGGAGAAGAACTGGAGGGTTCTAGAAAGAAAGCTGCTGGCGAAGTGGTGAAGTCGGTCGGGTCGGGTCGGGCCGGGCCGGGCTAAGAAGGGTCTAGAAAGAACTTTACCTTGTGGATTTCCTGATCTGTCTTTACTCTTTTCTCAACCATACAAACTAATTTAGGGGCTGTGAAAAAAAAACTAATTTAGGGCAAATTAGCAGGGTTAATGACATAAATATTGTTTTTTTTTTAATTTACCACCAATATGGCGGATTAAAAACAAATGACAAAGATATTGTGTTTTTGGAAAAGGCTTCGGCGGCCACACCGGAGACTCAGGCGCCGCCGCTGATTCTAAAGTTCTGGGCGCTGGCGCCCGAGTCCCTAGCGCCGCCACGTCAGGCTCTTTTTTTTTTAAATTTCCCTCGGGCTCGGGCCCCCCCTCCCCTCCACCCTTATCTCTTTTCCCAGCCACACACTCTCATCCTCCCCTCCTTCTTCCCGAGACCACACAACACCCCCCAAACCCTCCTCTTCTTTCTTCTTTCTTTCTGCCCGAACAGAGAATCCCCGCCGTAACTGAGGTGCCGGCGCCTGTGAGTGGAGCGCCGCCGCCTGTAAGGGAAGCGCCGCCGCTGGCAAGTGAGCGCCGTCGCCACAGCTTGGAGCGCCGCCGCTGGGGATTGAGCGTCGCCGCCGCAGAGAGGGGAGCCGCCGCTGCAGTCTGAAGCGCCGCCGCTTACTTGTAAAGCGCCGCCGCTGATGTCTTCCGACGAAGAAGCCGCCGGCAGAGGCAGGGGGAGAGGCCGGCGAGGTCGTGGCAGCCGTTTGCGCGGTGAGACTCTCGTCGGCGGCTTGAATTTTTTTTTAATGGTTTGTGTTTTTTTTATTGATGTTTTGTTGCTTTGTTTTTGCAGTTCCTAGGCTTATGGATCCTTATTCGATGAGATTACCGCCGGCGACAATTGATTCAAGTCCGGTCGATGCGACACTTCTTTGGGGACATGGCCAACATCGTATTGACTCTGTTTGGACAAACGAGGTAAGTATTTGATAATTATTCATGTAAAGTTAATTAGCTAATTAGATTATTTTAGTTGGTGAACTGAACTGTACTGTTAGAGAATAGGATTACGTATTAGATTTTTTTGAAATTAGTATAATTTGATATTAGATTAGATAGATTAGAATTAATTAGGTGAAATTAGAATTATTACGAATGAAGATGGATGAATTAATATAAGTTTTGTGCACTATAGGCTGGTGATCGATCTTTCCATGTTCGAGGTACGACCATTTTAGTACCTTACCGTGAGCTTTATCGGCCATATCTCGAAGCGGCAGGCTTGTTAAGTGTTGTGCCCCTAGTCCCTATGAACCCCGATGCGAGTTTGATTACTGCGCTCGTAGAGCGGTGGCGACCCGAGACATCGACCTTCCATCTACCGTGTGGTGAGGCCACGATCACGTTAGAGGACGTTGTTACACTGTCCGGTTTGGCGATCGACGGTGATGCCGTCGTAGTTGATATACCGGATGAGGAGTGGTCGGCGATCTGTTTGAGACTGTTAGGACGGGTTCCGGTTGATCTTGTAGGCGGGGTCGCTATTGTTAGGATTGTTTGGCTGAGGGTTGAATTCAGTCATCTGCCGGAAGATGCATCACAGGAGGTTATAGAGCAGTTTGCACGAGCTTATGCTCTATCTCTGATTGGAGGTGTACTTTTCCCGGATCGGTCTGGATCTACGGTGCACCTACAGTACCTACTTCTGATTGAGGATTGGGAGAGGGCTGGAGGGTTCGCCTGGGGAGCTGCTGTTTTATCCTACCTGTACCGTGAGATGGGTAGGTCGACTTTGCACATTTCGCATACCGGCACTTCTCTAGCCGGTGACCTTGGTGGATGGGTCGCCCTACTGCAGTTCTGGGCGTGGGAGCGATTCCCACATCTAGCTCCTCGAGATTCAGAGACGAGGGCACAGGCCACCGAGGATGCACATCCACGTGGTCTTCGATGGCTTTCGGCCAGCAGTCGTCAGTATGGTGACCAGCTATTCCAGTACAAGCTGTGGTTAGACGCGATGGACACCGTGGTGGTTAGTATATAACATTCCATTTTATAGAATAGTTTGTATTTGTTTTATTTTTTTAGAATTAGGGATAATAACGTTAAATTTTTGCTATGTAGTGGCAACCTTACCGTGAGAGAGCACTTCATCTCAGAGGTAGTGTGATACAGTCTGAGACATTTCGAGCAGTAGTGCCACTTATCTGCAGTCTAGAGGGTGATCAGGTTTTTCAGGAGACGATGTGGAACTATGAGCAGAATCTGCAGTCTCAGCAGCATGGTGGCGGTGCGCCTGAGGAGCATCTGCAGTCTCAGCAGGATGATTTGTTCGGTACACAGGATCAGGATGGTGGTGAGGAGGAGGATCATTCCCAGGCGTATGCTGGTCGACCTATGCGTAACAGGGTGGCTGCGAGGTGTGGTACTGGCGGCCATCTAGTGGTGGAGCATGTTGGCCGTTGTGGTGGTCGTCGTGGTGGTCGTCGTGGTGTTCCACAGTGAGACTATTATGTAGTTTGTTTATTTTTGGATTGTTATTATGTACTTCCTTTATTACACTATTATGTGTGGACTATTATGTTTGGATTATTATGTAGTTTCTATTATGTTTGGACTATATAGGATTATGTTATTATTTTATTAACGATAAAAACCATAACTACAACAACTTCAAACAACAACTTCTACATGATTATTCGAAGGAAATACAACAACTACATACCAAACTACAACAACTTCATACCAAACTACAACAACTTCTACATGATTATTCGAAGGAAATACAACAACTACTACATTTGAACAAACTTCTCAGCCACGTCTATTACCTCTACTTCCTCTTCGACCACCTCTCCCTCTTCGGTTGCTCCCACTCCCACTAGCTTGACCACCGCAGGTTGATGCATTATGTCCCGCTTGGTTACAGTTGCTACACACTTGGTGTGATGCACCCTCCCTTGGCCAATCCATCTCGTTGTGAATCCTTGTAACCCGTGGCCTCCCCGGCTTCCTAAGCATGTACACATTAGGATGGAGAGTAGGACCATTATGCTTCTTCCAACCCTTAGGTTCACCAAGAGGTGCGAAACTTGTCCCATAACAAGCCATCACTGTTTCCAGCTTGTAGACATTGTTTACAAACCCATACGCATTAGCCCCCAGTTGGTTGCAAGCTGCAATAGCATGAGAGCAAGGAATTTTATTTCCTTGAAATTTACCACAGGTGCAAAATCCCTCCCGGTTTTGGTCGTCAAAGTGCACTGTGAGTGTGTTTGACCCCGTCATGTTGAAATTGTTGGGGGGAGTCTTAACTACATAGATGCCTTGACTCCGATCAAGAGCTGTCACAGAATGTCCAACTGCCTTTTGTGACCTGTACTTCATCAGCTCTTCGCACTTGGTGGAGTACTGTGAAGGACCACTTCTAATTTTTGCTCCTGTCTCCAACCTGTACTTATCGAATTTCTCCACCAATCGCCAATAGGTATGTTGCACAAGAGAAGCTATAGGAAGTGCACGAATACCTTTGAAAACACCATTGATGCTTTCTGCCATGTTGGATGTCAGCATAGACCAACGACGCCCACCGTTGTAGTTATCATGTGCTAAACTCCAACGAATCTGATGTTGATCCACCCAGTTATCACATGAAATATTTCTATCACTGGCCACCTTCTTAAATTGCTCAACTTGACGATCGAACTTCTCCAACCGTTTTTCTCCAGCTAACAAAATAAACAACCACACGGGTTAGATAAATTCATGACAAAATTACATGAAAATAAATAACATAATTAAATGAAGAAGGCTTACCGACTCGAAATAGTTGCTTATACATAATTCTGCTTTTAGTCTTCCTTTGCAAATTGCTTGCATAGTGTCGCATGCACCACCTCCACTCCCAACCTCTTCCGATGTTATTCATGGCTTCATAGAGTCCTGCATGTCTATCTGAGATGATGCATACATCATTTCGATCAGTCAAACCCTGAACGTTCCTTATGAACCATGGCCAACTCTCAGTATTCTCGCTCTCCACTATGGCAAATGCAATTGGGAAAATTTTCTTCCGACCATCATATGAGCTCGCCATGAGTAGCACTCCTTTATACTTCCCAGTAAGAAATGTTCCATCAACAACCATGACGCCCGGACAATTCTTGAATCCATCTATACAAGGTCCATAAGCCCAGAATACTCGCTGAAATATCAAATGACCTGGTTGAGTCGAAGGAACTCTTACCCAATCAATCACCGATATTGGCATTTTTCTCTTGACTACCCGCAAGAATATCTGCAAAAAATCGTAGGATTCTTCCCAATTTCCATGCAACTTCTCCAATGCTCTTTGTTTCCCATACCAAGCCTTCTTGTAAGTAACTTGCATATTAAACTTATCTTTCAACTCAGCTTGCACAGTTAGAACACTCAGATTTGGTTGGGCACGTACCAAATGTTTGACGGCCTCAGATATCATGTCGACATCAAGATGGCGATGATCCGTCGGTTGAGTCGTACTGCTACAAGAATGCACCAACTCAGCCTTTCTCACAGTCCATTCGCCTCCAGCATCTCGACATCCAAACCGCACCATCCAAGGACAATTGTCATCCTTGTGCCTCAAGCATCTGACCTTCCAGATTGAAGGTGACGACTCCACCACGCCATATTGAAAGTTGCGTTGTAGTGCGTGGTGTTTAATCGCCATCTGTGCAGCTTGTTTCGAGTGAAATATCTGCCCCTTGTAGAACTCTCCTTCAAAACTATCAACAATATGCATTGGAATTACGCCATATGAATCAACAAGTGAGTATTCTTCGTCCTCTTCATTACCCTGCAAGTAAAAATATGGAGGATAATTAGGCACTTCTTCCCCCTCTTCCTCCTCCTCCTCCTCCTCCTCATCTTCCTCCTCTCCGTCATCACCGTCATCATAGGCATGATCGGATGGCACGCTCCATGTATCATCTTCTACCTCTCCACCCTGATCCTCACTGAGCTCAACATGTATCTCAGCACCCAAACAATAAGGATTTTGTGCCATAAAATTCCAAAACACATTCAAGCTATCATCATCCACAATAGGCATTGCATAATGAAATAAAACACCATTCTGCCATTCTGGAAGACGGTAAATGAAACTTGTGATCACATCACTATCTTGTACTGCTTCGTCTCTACGCCGTATTCTCGGAATTAGATTCTCACAAAGATAATGATATGTGACCCTGGATGGAATCGTCATCTGAAAACTACTACCACCAACGAATTTGACGCCCAAATTATCTTCTACTTTCTCCGATTTCCATCGAACGACTAGTTCAAATCTTCTAAAATCACTACAAAAAAACAGACTCACTAATTAAAACTAAACACAATCATAATAACATTTGAATAATATAATTACAAAAATAAATGCGTCTCTTACCTATTAGCCATTTTTGCAGCAGCAACCAGAGCTCCAAAGCTCTTTTCTTTTGAACGATTTTTTTGTGGTGTGAAACTGAAATGAAATTGGCTGGGTTTATATAGGGGGGAGGCCACCTAACTCGCTGATGACTCAGGCGCCGCCACTCTAGTCTCGAGGGCCGCCACCTGGGACAGTTTCCCACCTAACACGCTGGACTCACCGACGGTGCCGCCTGAGTCTTCGGCGCCGCCGCCGTCACTTGATCCAAAATATCATCCAGAGCGGCGGCGCCTGAGTCCAAGGTGTTGTCGCCATTTTGTGTCTCCAAAACACAATATCTATGTAAATACTTCTTAATCCGCCATATTGGAGGTAAATTAAAAAAAAAAACAATATTAGTGTCATTTATCCCAAATTAGCATGAAATAAAAAATGTAATGAGTAAATATTTGTATACTATAGAGTTGAGTGACCAATACGCAATGTAGCGTTTAATTCATATTGGACCAACCGAACCAAGTACCAACCAACGACTTCAGAGTTCAGCGTCAACGAAACGGCATTCTTCCCCGTCGTTGGAGAAAGAGGCTCCCGCCGTCGTCCAAAGACCAAAATGAAGGCAACTTCCCGGCGGAAACGAGCAGCGAACTCCCTGGAGCCCGTTGAATCGCGCGACGAAATCGAGTCGAAAGCCACTGCGATTCAACGCCGGGTGAGGTCGTTGAGGGCTGTTGGAGTTTCGGCTAAAGGTAGAGGCAGAGCCAAATGCCATCCTGGTCGACTGCAACCGCCAATTCAATCGTCGTCGCCATTCTCGCCTTCCGCGGAGCTCACCGTCTTGCCTCGGGAGTTCTTCCAAATCGACGCCCTCGACCTGGCCCCTCGCTTGCTCGGCAAGCTCCTGCGCAGAGACGACGTCATTCTTCGGATTACCGAGGTTACTTCTGTTTTATTGATCGGGAATTTACATCCCCAACTGTTGGGTTTTCCTTGCATTAGAATTGATTGTTATTGTTCTAACAGGTAGAAGCTTACAGACCTAATGATTCAGCCTGCCATGGCAGATTTGGGATTACTCCGAGAACTGCTCCAGTGGTAGGATTATTTCAGATTGCCGAATTTGAGTCCTGTGTGAAAGTGAAATGATTGATCGATGGGATTTGGGGTTTTTCACTTGATTTTGTGGGAATAGTTTGGAGCGGGAGGGCATGCATATGTTTATCTTTGCTATGGACTGCACACAATGCTCAATGTTGTTGCCGATGAGGAAGGAGTTGGAGCTGCTGTACTTATTCGTGCTTGTGCTCCTGTTAGTGGTGAGTTAAAGCCGCCTTCTGCTTGTTGAAAACTGCTATTTACATTGCCATGGTCACTTTCGATACCACGTCCCTCCTGCCGCTCTGGGAATCATCTCATGTTCTAGGTGACACCAGCTGCACATTATTAGGAAGTATTTGATCTGCTTTCCTTGTGTTTTTGTTGTTAAGGAGCTGCTTTCATGGCACCTTTAGCTGGGCTCTTACTTTGTGATGATTGGTAAAACTTTCACTCACAGGTTTGGACACGATTAAGAGGCGACGAGGTCAGGAGACTGACAAACCTGTGCTCCTCACTGGTCCTGGCAAGGTGAGTTTTACTTTGTTTGCTTCAGTCTGCATACTTTTGTTGAATCCAGCATGATCTAACGTTATTATAAAGTTGGAAAGCCATCAGAAAACTACCATTCCCACAAGGAACTACCTTTATCATCTGTCAATTTGCTAGGTAATTGCAGTGTTCCAAAAGAAATTACATTTACCATCGAACCATTCCTGGAATGGTAGTTTTCCAAAAGAAATTACCTTTTACCATCGAACCATTCCCTAGCAAATTGACCGATGATAAAGGTATTCCTTTTGGAAAACTACCATTCCCTAGGAAATGGTTCGATGATATGGTTTCAAGCATTTAAGTTTGTTGATTTACCTTGTTGATTTGGTCGGCGGTTGTCATCATCTTGCTGAAACCAACTGATGGAGAATTGCCTTGCACAGATTGGTCAAGCATTGGGGATTTCAACAGAATGGTCTAACCACCCTCTTTATTCTCCAGGTAACCAACTTGATGTCATAAATCTCAGGTGTTATGAGCTTGTGTCTCTTTCTATTGTTCTGTCAGTTAAGGGATGCGCATTGATCAGGTGGTTTGGAGATCTTGGATGCACCCGAGCCTGAACAAATACTGGCTGGTCCACGCGTCGGTATCGACTATGCGTTACCAGAACATGTCAATGCATTGTGGAGGTTTGCCATTGCCGGCAGCCCTTGGATAAGTGCTCCTAAAAACACCCTGAGACCGCTCTGAACTACCCCTGTATAGCTAGCTGTAAATGTACATTTGTACAGGGACATCTCTTCTCATGTGTGTATATGTGCAGTAGACAGTAGAAGGTCTGTCTTACTGCAAGTCTAGATGTCTTCCTTTTTCCAGTTGATGGCTAAACTGTTGGTTAGGGTTCTTGCTCCCCACCACGCTTGGCGTCCACCATCTCCTTAAGAGCACTCTCATTTCCACTGGAGCATAAGCCAAAGCCCTAGTGGCTAATACTACTATGTGATATTTAAGTATAACTTGCAAGATCATTGTACTTTTGGGTCTTCTGCCCTTTTTACTACTAAAAAAGTTCAAAGAAATTATAGAGTGTCTTGATGTGACTTGTTTATCTTATTTGTAATAACTATGACTTTCACCTCGTATCTGATGAGAAATATTTACTTAACTTTCTGTTCAGTCACTGATGAAAGATACAGTAATAATGGAATTTATTTACTATATGTTCTCATACGTTTTTATAAAAAAAATTAAACCATTATTAATAATGGATAAATGTCACATTTAATATCAATTTTGATCATTCGAATTACTAAAACAGGTCACATTTTGTCAATCTCTCGTTATCCTCCGTCCAACTCCGGTCACTCGAATTAATTTTTCTTTTATGAATGTCACTCGAATTACTGAAAATGTCACATTTAGTTACTCTCCGTTAGCCTCGGTCCAACTCCGATAATGGAGTTGGACGGAAACTAACGGGAGAGTGACTAAATGTGACATGTTTCAGTAATTAGAGTGACCAAAATTGATATTAATTTTTTCTAGTAACTAAACATGACATGATTTAGTAATTTCAGTGACCAAATGTAGCATTTACCCTTATTAATAACATGATATACAAAAAGTTGAAGAGAGTATAAATAAACAGATATAATATAATAACAAATTAGTATGAAAAATTATTAGTTCCTCTAGGAAGTTGAAAAGAGTACATAAATCAGCTCTTATGCGGCAGTTTCATCAGCAGTATCAGGAATGAATAAGTTTCCTGTGGATGGGGCTCAACGAGTTCCTGCAACGGATGATCAACCTGCAGTGGATATTTCCTCTTGTCCATTTGTGTGTTGGTGGGATGGGGCTATTAAGTATGCATCCCACTCGACGGGAGGAATGGTTATTATGGATCAGGCAGGGATAGTTTTGATTGCTAAAGGGGTCTATTTTGCTGGGATTGATGATCCTTTACTTGCTGAGATCCTCTTGCTCCGGGAGACAATTCTTTGGTGTATCGCGTCTGGATTTGAGCAAATACGGTTTGAAGGGGACGACAAGACGATTATTGATAAAAATAAATAAGGCGGATACGAGGGACAGTCGGATTGGAGCCCTTCTGGAAGAAGTTCTGCATTGTTTATCTAACCATAGTAGGTCGGCGTAGTAATAGGGTAGCCCATTTGGTGGCTAAGAAGGCCCTTCATTTGTGAGTTTTTTTTCCAGAAATAGCACCTTTAAAATTTTTTTACAAAAATAGCACCCTTCCAAAAATATTTACAAAACTAGCACCCTTTTTTATGGACCGCACCCTAGAGGTGCGTTTTACATATAAACCGCATCCTCCAGGTGCGTTTTATATATAAACCGCATCTGTAGGGTGCGGTCCATATTCCTGGGTCGAAATCACATCTTGGCCACGCGGTTTCGACTCTGCCCCTACACAAACCGCACGGCCGAGGTGCGTTTTTGGCATGACCTAGCCAAACCGCACGGCCGAGGATCTCTTAATACCCGATTTTCCCAGGTAATGGGAGGATATGATAATCGCTTAAAACCCCATTTCCTTAGACGTGCATCTCTTTATAAAGAGTCGAAGTAAGTGGCGCTATGTATTCGATTAAATTATTGAAAACCACCAACACGATTAAAAAATCAACATAAATTTATTTTATATTACACTAGGCACATTAACAAAATAAAAGAAGGACAAATGGTGAAGAATTGTATGTACCGGGTGAGCGTTCCAAACATCCCTTGACCGATGGTTGGGTTGGTCGTACAAGTCGGTTGGATCCAACGGTCCTTGCTCGAGATAATACCGTTGGTTGTATATATCGACGTCCTCCCCAACCTACGAGAAAATAACAACGAGGTTAGTACATAGATTAATTAAAAAACTTATAACAACAACAAAAATTAAACCAGAATAATGAGTACATACCGCTTGAAATTCATCAACATAAACTCCTTCTCCTTGCCACCAATCGGCCATTTTTTCGGCGTAATTCGGACAAAGCTTCGGCTCGGCTCGGGGGGTTTTGAGGAAAAAACCTAAGAAATGTTTTCTGATGGCAGATCGGACTTAGCCGCAACCAACAGACCACTCTTTCCTAGGCTTTTGGGAGGGGAGGGTTTAGAGAGATAAATTGTAGAGAGAGAAGGAAGAATGGGTTGTGGTGTGAAGAAATGAGAGGGGAAGGGGGGGTATTTATACCCATCAGACCGCACCCCCCAGGGGCGGTCCGGTAATTTTGCCCTAAGGGAAACCGCACCCTCCCGATGCGTTTTGCGCTTCCCTAGGGTTGACCGCATCTCGGGCGTGCGTTCTGCCTTCCTTGGCGCGGATCGCTCCGCTGGCAAGCGTTCCACCGTCCGATCGCATCTCCATCCGACGGTCTTGAAGACCGTTCCGCAGCAGCACTGAATCGCACCCCCCAAGTGTGTTTTCTTGCGTTTTCTTTATTGGAACGCACCCCTAAGATGCGTTTTATAAGTAAACCGCACCCTTATAAAACGCATCTTAGGGGTGCGTTCCATAAAAATAGGTGCTATTTCTGTCAATTTTTTCATATGTGTGCTAGTTTTGTAATTTTTTTTAAAGGTGCTATTATTGGAATAAACTCTTCACTTGTACCCGACTGCGAGTCGCTTCTTTGATTTTATGATCTGGTTAAATTCCAGGATGTAACTATCTGTTCTCTGATCAATATATGATTACCTTTTGTAAAAAGAAAAAGTACATAAACTTCTAGTCTACCGATATCTACAATACCTTAACATTGAACTCACTAGTTCAATCCTCGACGATAAATCCCAACCAACCCTTTCCATTTCCCCATAATTGAAAACGTTAATTTTATAGAACAACTAGACAGCAATCCAATGATCCACACCATAGTTTCCCCCCAAAATAATTATCCACACCATAGTTACTAAGCTAGAAGCAAGGTTGTCAATCGGCGGGTTGACCCGGGTTAGTCCGGACCCGCTCTGGAAAACGAGCTAGAACAACGTATTTGAGAGTTAGTCCGGATATGGTCAAACCCGGAAAGCCTTATCAAACTCGGGAAAATCAGGGAGGTTGGCCCGTCCAAGCGGGTCAGCGGGCTGCACGTTTCGAATATCGTTTCTGGCTGTGCATTTTATGTTAGTTCTCTTGCTCCGTTTCCCATTTGATTAAAATTATATAAATTTTTTAGGCAAAAGGAAAACTCTACAGTGTCTCTGTTTTCCGGCGAGAAAACTCTTGTTGAATTGAGATGGATTGCACCTTTGACTTCTTTGGACAACGATCACTAAACACGGTTCACACCTCTTCAAACAAAGTTCGAACGAGGGTGTTCGATGTTTACACGACTCTCGAGACAGATCTACATTAAATTACTTCTAATCCTATGGAGGTTCTGAGAGAGCTCCAGATCTACGACTACTGATAAAAAATTTGCAAAGGAAAGATAAGATTGATAAAACTTGACAAATGATGTCGAGTGGTGATTTTTGCGGGCTCTTCTCTGTCACTCTATCCTCTTATTTATAGCCTTGAGTGGGTAACTGTCGTAGAAAAAACTGCCTCGGATAACTTCCAAAAAGAACTGCTCCCTGCTTCTTCGGAACGTGGCTGACGTGTCCTTTGAACGTGGGATGAGTAGCAGTTATCTCTCAACCGCCTATGTGCCTCTCTTGAAACCGTCGTAGGAGCTTGTAGCATGCCTCATATATCACGGTCATGGACTTCTTTACTCATGTCCATGGCCCTCTTGGGACTTAGTCTCTAGTGATATAATATTTCATCCCCATGTCATTCTCCTTCGTGTCCATGGCCCCTCTCGTTAGGCGGCATGGCCTCTCAGAATTATCATACGGCATGGCCTCTTGTTTGCACTCATGGACCTCTCAATCATGGACATGGCCTCCCTCATGAAGCAGCAAGTCCTTCCCTATACTCAGAGTATTTTCGGTTGTTTGGCTTAGATCATGAGGCGGCATTGCCTCTTTATTCGCGACCATGGACTTCTCGTTCATGTCTGTGGCCCTTTCCGTTGGACGGCATTGGCCTCCTCATACTTAGTATTTTTCACGTGCCCAGGTCCTCTTGTCTCGTGTCCATGGTCGTCACATATGACACGCCCATGGACCTCTTAATCACCCACATGGCCTTATATTCTCATACTTAGAATATTTTTTATCATACCGGGTCTTCCTTGAGATAGCATGTGCTTCTATATTCCTGATGGACGTGTTCTTCTTTGATGAGGCGGCATGTCTTTCTCCGTGAAGCGTCATGTACCTCTTCCAGACTTAGTTAAATTTTCACTCCTTCGGTCTTGTTTGTGAGGCGGCATGGCCTCTTCGTTGAGGCGGCATGTCCTCTAGATTTCATACGGACGCGACTCTGTTTGATGAGGCGGCATGTCCCTCTTTAGACTTAGTGGTTTGGGCTTAAAATCAATATCCATAAGGCCCAACTGAAACAACATTAATTGTTATAATGGGTGTGGCCTTATAAACTCATTAATTATCTTGTAACTCAACAATGTGGTACAAAACAAATTTTTATGGTGTAAACAGTCTTTTCTATATATCTTACTTTTGCCAACATATTATTTTGACTCTAATATACACATTAGATAAAAAGTGCGACTACCACTACTACTTTTTTAAGACTAACTAAAATATAATATAATTGAACATAATAATAAATTAATATTAGAGGTAAATTTTAACATCTATTGAGGCAAATTTTATATTAGTTGCTATAAAGCACTTTGTAATTGCATAAATTAATAGCTATAGAGGTAAATTGTATATTTGTGGTATATCAAATACTTTTAGAGGCACATAATTGTATCTACTTAGAAATATCTTTTTTTATCTTGCATATAATATTCTTTTTGTGACAAATATTATATTTGCGTCAACAATTAGCCGCTATATGTAGGTTTGTTGTAGACTTGTAGTGTTAGTAATTATTTGGAATTTTGGATTGCTTATGTGGTTTGACAACCTTATTAGTGTTGTATTTTTTCCCCTTATATTGGAGTACAATATAATGATTCTTTTCATTTTTCCAAACTAAACTGAACTAAAACGGACTAAAATGGGTGATCTATTAATCCTTTACCCACTAGTTTTACCGGGTTCGGATCGACTTGCGGGCTGACAAATTTGTAAGAAGTGAAAGTTCCCTGTGGGCTACTTTATTTTCAGTTTTTTTTTTTGGTCAACGATAGATGATTTGGTAAAGTAACATAACAAACACGTAGACAAGCATTCGTTCGAAATTACGGTAGAAATTTGTTTGCCCTATCGAGGTTCCGTGGCGCTCAAGAGTTCTAATGGCCGAATCCCGTACAAAATGCTCTTTATTTAAACTGACACGCCTCCCGAGACTCTAACCAATACTCTCTACTTTCCGGCTACAGGTTTTCGATTCCTTCTTCCTCAGATTTCTCTCATCCTCGTCGCCGCCATGGAAGCCAATCATGCCACTGATGATCAGAGCTCCCCAAACCCAGTGGTTATCCTGCCGGAGACGGCAGAAGCCGCCGCCTATGTTCCAGTAAATACCAATGGAGCCATCGTCAAAGACGAAACCCAAGAAGAAGAGAAGGAGAGCGGGGCAGAGACCATAACAGACGACGAGCAGAGCGACGACCAGGATTCCGATAGCTCAGACGCGGACAGTGATTACACCGTCTCTTCCGAAACAGATGAGGAAGAAAGCTCCGACGATAACACCGTCCCAGCCCTAGGAGAGGAGGAGCAAAGCTCAGGTGAGGATGCCGAAGGGTCTGGTGTCGACAGCGATCGCACTGTCCCTGCTGTAAGAGACGAGGAGCACAGCTCCGACGACGACAACAGCGACTACTCCGAAGACTATGAAAGCCGCTATCCTTTCCAGCGATTCTACACTTGTCGCCCGATAAGCGGGAACAGCAGGGAGCATCTAGAACAGGGGAACCTGATCATAATGCCGGAATCGGCCCTGGAGGTTCTGCATAGAACCCAACAAGGTTACCCGATGCTGTTCGAGATCAGGAACGGCTTGAAGGAGCGGGTTTCTCACTGCGGGGTGGTGGAATTCACCGCCGAGGAAGGGACGGTGATGGTGCCGGGGTGGATGATGGAGAATCTGAAGGTGGAGGCAGGGGAGACTCTGCTCCTCAAGAGCACCATTCTCCAGAAGGGCACCTTCGCCAAGCTTCAGCCGCATTCCGCCGCCTTCTTGGCCATAAGGGACGTGAAAACGGTGCTGGAACAGACTCTCAGCGCCAAGTTCTCCTGCCTGACCACCGGAGACACCATTGCTATCGACCTGGGCAGCAAGAAGTTCTACATCGACATTGTAGAGACCAAGCCTGATGATGCCATCTGCATTATTGATACGGATTGCGCCGTGGACTTCGCTGTTCCATTGGATTACAAAGAGCCGGCGCCAGCCCCAGCGCCGCAGGAGCTTAGGGAAGAGGGAGTGGGTGGTCCCCGCTGTTTCATACCGTTCACCGGAGTAGCGAGGAGGCTGAATGAGACGGCAGTGGCTGTTGATGAAGAGATGCAGAGTGTTGAGGCAGAGCCAAAGAGAGTGCAAGTTAGACCTGTGGTTACAGTAGCTGAAGCGGAGAATAAGCAGTTTCAGCCATTTACTGGGAGGAAACATACCTTAGGTGGATGAATTCGATGCCCTTCCAGTAATTGCTGTCAAATCATTGTGTTTTCAAGTTCAAGTTAGATGATACCAGTTCATTACATGTAGTGTCATACAGTTATTGTGAATTGATAAAATGGAAGCAATCCTATTGAATCACAGTTATCCCATACTCCAACCTGGCGTCGTGTTCACTAGAGAGAACTCGGACACAAAAGAATTGCAATGTTCATATTGCATTTACATAAGCAAACTGAAACCAAAATTACACCATGGTTACTTGACTACAAATAAAAACTGGAATCTGGAAGTGCCATTTACTATAGTTGACCAGTAGTACAACAAAGAACTGACTGTGACATCAGCTCATTCACCAGCATGACAAGCATCCACCAATCAAGCATCAAGTGCACAATCCAAATCTCAGAGGCGAATTCTGCAAAGTGCACATTCTTCTGCTGTTAACAGCAAAAGTCTGCCAACATAATGGCTGCTTACCAATTTCCTGAACAACTAATCCGTGAAAAGAGAGAACATGAACGTTGAGACACATAAAGCAAGTGAATATGCTAAACAATCCCTTCCAGAGAAATGGAGCGATTGGTCAATTAATGATTAAAGCTTATCTTGGTGCCTAACCAGATACCTTTTACTCTGCATCTAATTCAAGTTTTGAACTACCCTTGGAGGCCACTGCTTTTTTGCCAGCAGAGCACTGAAGAGACACAAACCATAAGATGGAGCTGACAATATGTGAATCAGAAGAGCTAAGAAACCACTAAAATTCACTGTTAAATAAAAAAAAATAAACCACTACTCACTGCAATCTTCCAAACAAACAGCAAGAGCCAGGTAATCTTCACAGATCTGATATCGAAACACAATTGTAGAATTATAAAGTTGGAAAGTGAAATAGTGGAAGTGAAAGCCAAAACAGTATACCACCATACTGCTATCATTTGGTAACTGCAAGCCTATAGAACACAAGACAACAAGGCTACTGCATCCCAAAATAGGAAGGTAATCACCCCTCAAACCATCACACAGAACCAGTTTTTTTCTACAAGGTTGAAGCATCACACTGAACCAGTTACCACTACTTCTAACAACAAATCATTTTTAAAGGCACAAAATACCTTCTTCCACAATCCCAAATTTTCATAAAAATCCTCACAAAGTTGAACACACCATCTGCAATTGATCAAACAAAAAACATCATCAGATCTCTGACCAGAAGACTAAAAGTGAGATAGCAAATCAAGAGATCAGCTTTGAGGGGTTGTCACGCTTCAGTACCTAGATAAAAAAGGCCCACTTGTTGTCAGCGAGAGAAACAGCAAACTTCTTCAGCGGTATGGGTTTGAGCAATCAGCCATATAGGAAAGCGCTGGCCATTTCTTTCCGGTAACTATGGTTGTAGTGGGAACTCTAAAGTGCCAGCAACTTAACATCATTTAGTGGGATGCAGTTGGCTATAAAACTCAGTAAAGTCAAGCCGGAAAAGAAGGAATTTCAAATCAATGTGCTGCTGGACAGGCAACTCGGATAAGAAAACTTCCAGTAGTGATGTATATTCTTTTGCGATGGCGCCCAACTCTTTCCCCATATTCTGAAGAAACTCTCCGGCACGTTGTGTTAGGGCCTTCCTTCCTTCACCGATCCATGACCCAGGAGGCTCGGATGTTTTTTTCGCAGTCTGTTTTGATGACTTTCTCTTGTCTTTGGAAGGTAAAGACACAGCATTTCTGGAGAAAATAGAACTAAAAAGCTTCACATTTTGACAGTACAAATAAAAACTAACATTTGACGCCCATATGCAAATATTTTCACAGGACTAAGTACCTTGCTTGCAGCTCATAGATGCCTTCGTACAATCGATCGACCTGACCTCTATAACGTAATATGAGGTCAAATAAAACAAATAGTGACTTGTAAAGGGGCCGAGACCGTTCGCCAAGAAGAGATTTCTCTACAATTGAATTAAGGTACTTCTCATGAGCTGCAAGAAGATCATCGAGATCCTTTGCAGATTCCATCTCGTCTGAAAAATTTGACCATGATACCTCCAGTACCTCAAACATAATGTAATACTGTAAGTTTGTGACAAAATGGTTCATCTCATTCCACAATACCTGGCACTGCCTCAATGTCACAAGTAACTGTGATTTAACTGCACCCTGCAGCTTAACAAAGGAATTGGAGGTAATGCAGTTTGGTTTCATTGTTTTCCAAGCACCAATAAGTGCATGCTCAACTCGCCTCAGCTTCCAGAGGAAATTAAAAATTCTTCGATACTCTGCCATGACAGATTCAGTGAACACCGTGTTCAATGGAACACTAGCATCATATTCCAGCGAAAATACATCCCATCCCCTGTCGCCAGTGCTTTGAACCATCATGTTCACCCTCACCCTATCTAAAATGTCTCTGTCATCATATTGAGCATTAGATGATCGGATTGCACTTTCCAAAAAGCCAGCCAACTTAAATGAACTGATGGTATTAGCAGGTTCAGAAAGCTCTTCTCCTATACTATCCATTAGATATTGAACAAAGTCACCTTGGCCAAGCAGTAAATAACGCTTGATTGCAAGACAGTGTTCTTTGAACTTATACCTTGAGTACATAACGTCCAACAGATGTTTATCAATTCTCTTTGCTGCTTCAGCCACCAGATTTTCAAGTGCATCAGTTTCCCCATATCCAAGACTTCCCCTTCTAGTACTTGTCCCTGCTGCAGCGGCAGCCTCTGTGGCAGCATCAGCCCATCCCCGATCATCGCAGCACACACGCAGAAAGTTTATAGATTTCCCAGTCCTCAAAATCCTCTGAGCTAGGGGCTGAGAAATAAAAGAAGGAAGCATCATGGAATGAAGCCTGTAACCTTCCCTCCAAAGAGACTCTTTCGCCTTTTGGCTCACATTAGATTCTAGTTCCTTTGTCTCACTCACAATAAAGAACTCCGAAAAAATATCTTCCAGTTCTCCTTCCAAAACCCATCGCCTAACCATTTCGAAAAGGGGAGAACATACCCTTCGGAGCAAGCTTTTCATGAATTCGTGGACAAGAGGATCACCATGCTGAGCATGCAAATGTATAGAACCAGCCATGGCACCACCTTTCAAGACTTTGCACGTATCAACCAGAACAGCCATTAACCTCATTTTCACCATCGGCTCCACAAACCACACTGATAACCTCCTCAAAGATAGATAATTCCCCGAAGTAGCTGACCTGGAAACCAGTGGAATAGGATTCATTGCCTGTGTCTCGAGCACAGCTAACAACTTGTAGTACTCAGAGAGTTCATCTTGCAACGCAGCACATAATGCTTGGCCTACTGTTCCTACTTCTGCGGTAGGAAACGAATCCAAACTGTCAGTGATGTACCCTCTAACTTTTCTGAATAACCACCCTAACTCACAGAGCTTCCTTACCATAGTTCTAGTAGACCTGGGGACTTTGAAATTCTCTGGCAACACATAACCATCGAGATCTGCATCAAATTTCACATACTTGCCGTCAATCCCTTGGCAAGCATACAAAACATCCCTCACCAGAACCTCCTCGGAAACCTCATTCTCCTCCTTGATCAAATCCACAAACTCCCTAAACGCAATCTCACGCAAATTTTCAGGGTCTTTGGCCACCACCAAAACTCCATTCTCCCAACCCTTATCCCCTCTCCTCGAATTGCGTGAATCTCCGCCAATTTCACGGTCATCTAGAGTCAAATTGGGCAAAAGAAGGGCGGAATTCTGCGAGGCCTGGGAGACTTTCCTGTCCTCGGATACAATTTTGAGCAAATAAAGAACCGCCCACTTGTTGTTGATGCTGCCGGCCCCAGTCTTGGAGGCGAACTTGTTGTAGAGATCGGCGAAGGAGAGTGCTTTGGAGGACTTACCCTGAGTGGCGAGGCGGCGCTTGATTGACTCGGCGATGGCGTCGGCATCAGGGGCAATGGAAGGTGTGAGCTTGCTGGACAGAATGCGGACGGCGTATCGAAAGGAGTTGTTGAGATCGGTGGGGTTAGGGTTTTGGGCGGCGTTGTTTGGTGCAGTGGGATTGTGGGAGAGGAGACGATGAACCAGCTCCTTGACTAGATCCAGGGTCTTCTGCTGATCGTCGTCTTCCATTTCCGGTTTCTTCTACTTCTTCTTCTTCTTCGTCGCCGTCGCCGTCGCCGTCCGGGCAAAGCGAGGGTTTTAGTCGGAGAGAGCTGGGCGTTAGTATGTGAGTGAGAGTGAGACAGAAAACAAAACTGCCAAGTTCGTTTTCCCTCATTTTTCAGTTTTCTTTTATCTTTAAGGGCGGGGAAATGCAAACCCTCGTATTTTTCAAATGGTGTGTTGTCAATGAATAGCAAGGATTTGCAATATCATATCTGTTAATAATTTATTAAATTAATCTACATCCATTTCATTACCGCTTTCATTGTTGATCATGTCACTGTCCACAACACATCTCTTGCTTTGATCGTATTATATGTCATACTCTTCATCATAACAAAACTATATAATATCAAGGGCAAATACAATATATTAGCCATAACTATTAAGTAGTGGGGAATTATAGCCACAACTATCGAAATACAAATTATTAGCCAATCGTTAAGTTTTCGTTAACACTTCTGTTAGTAATGATGACTAAGCTTTTACGATGGTGAGCTGGCTCCCACGTGGCAGTCATCATATCATATTTTTTACGATGCTCACATGGCCTTCTACGTTAAAAATTTGAAAACAGTTGCTGGCTGTTAGCCAAATCTTGACCCACAACAATAGTTATGGCTAATAATTTGTATTTCGATAGTTGTGGCTATAATTCCCCGCTACTTAATAGTTATGGATAATATATTGTATTTACCCTAATATCAATGATAAAGTCAGACATATATTCTTTTGAAGATAAAAAATTATCATAAGATGATAATCTTAATCAATATACTATATAATATCAATGATAAAGTAAGACATATATTCTTTTGAAGATAATCTTAATCAATATATTGTCTTGGCTTATGATAATTTAAACTCATTTATGATTTATGCCTTATGTCTTTGATTCAATAATCTTATTTCAAAGTATTAATTACTAAAGAGAACATATGAGTATGTGCTTTAATTTTATGTGGTGGCACAATCATAAAAAAATCGGAATCGCAAATGGCGAATGGAGAGAGAAGGGAAATGGTGGACATGAGGGGGGATTAGAATATTGGTTTCCGAGGGAAATGTGAATGCACGTAGAAGTAGGGAAGGGGGTTAGATGTGTGTGTATTTTTATTCTTTTGGGTAAGATTGTTGGTCTTACCTTACCTGCTAGTTGCTGCTAAAACATAGATATCATTTTTGGGACACCACCTGAATTATAGTAAATTATAGAGAGACACAGACAGAAAGAGGTGTAGGGAAAAGGGAAGAGAAGAGAGCAAAGGGAGAGAGAGAGAGAGAGAGAGAGAGTAATAACGTATAGGGAAAGCGAAGGGGAGAGAGCCCGCCCGCCCGCCCACCTTACCGTTCCTCCGCTTCCTTCCCAACCTAACAACAAAATCATCAAGCACCATTGACGCCAAGACAAAAAAAAAAAAAAAAAAAAAAAAAAGAGAGAGAGAACGAAGAAGAACATTTTACAAGAATTCTTGTCTTTTCCTATAATCGTTTTCAATCTTCTTCTCATTCACCAATCTCATTGGAATTTAAATCCTTTCTGGGTCATTCATCTTATCCATCATCAATCCTCTCAAAGCCCTACTTTTTGGATCAACGCTTCAATCTCAACCTAGCTAGCTTTCACAAACCAGAAGGAAGGATCCTCTACTCGCCACTTGCAATTTTTCTTTGTCAATGCTGGTTCTTCTGATAACGAAATTGAGGATGTCTTGATTTTCATAGAAATTTGCACATTGGATTATGTTCATAATATTTGATTTTACTTACCCACAGTCATAATTAATTAAGCCGCAGAAAGGTGATTATGTTGTGTTGTGGAGGTGCAGAAGAGGAACCTTATGGGCCCCCTGCTAACCAATACACTGCCCCTCCCAAAGGAAGCCCTTATGGCGGTACGTTCACCCATTTTCTACTCTCGCTGCATAAATATATATCCCTCTTTTATAATTGTTTAGCATCATCATCCTAAAACTATTTTCGATCGCAGCACTTGAGCCAAAGGCAACCAACCCAACGAGAGGAGTCCCACAGAAGGTGTTGCCAATTGAAACCCCAAGCATACCTTTGGAAGAGCTCAATAGATTAACAGATAACTTCGGTCAGAAGTCATTGATCGGAGAAGGCTCTTACGGTCGTGTATTCTATGCAACTCTAAGCGATGGTGTGCCGGCGGCAATAAAGAAGCTCGACACCAGCACTTCCCAAGAACCCGACACTGATTTTGCAGCGCAGGTCAAAGACACAATATCCCACATCAAAAGCACAAATATCCTACATTTTATCCCCATCCCATTCAAGAAATGACCCAATATGCTTGCTTTTTGTATGTTTTTGTGCAGCTATCGGTTGTTTCCAGATTGAAAAACGATCATTTTGTGGAGCTAATGGGGTATTGTTTGGAGTCAAACAACCGAATCCTGGTCTACCAGTATGCCTCTATGGGCTCATTGCATGATGTCTTGCATGGTACAAATCTCAAATTTATATGCTTTTCCATTATGGTTTTGAGTTATATAGATGGATTAACTATAAGGAAAAGAACCAAAATGGGTTTCTGATTTTAGAAAATGTGTTTACACAGGGAGGAAAGGGGTACAAGGGGCCGAGCCAGGGCCAGTTTTGAACTGGAATCAAAGAGTGAAGATAGCCTTTGGAGCGGCAAAAGGTTTAGATTATCTACACGAGAAATGTCAACCTCCAATAGTCCATAGGGATGTGAGGTCAAGCAATGTGCTGCTCTTTGATGACTTCACCTCCAAGATAGCAGATTTCAACATCTCCAGTGCTTCCTCTGATACTGCCGCCCGTTTGCATTCCACCCGAGTCCTGGGAACTTTTGGCTACCATGCTCCAGAGTAATTATAATCGATAGATTGAAATCTTCTCCGCAATTTTGCTATCTTTCCATATAAAATGAATGACATATAATTAAAACAAATAAAAATAAGTTTATCGCATATGCTTAAACAAACACACGTGAATAATTGGTTTTGTTTGTCATGATATCAGGTATGCCATGACCGGGCAAATAACTCAGAAGAGCGATGTTTACAGTTTTGGTGTGGTTTTATTAGAGCTTCTCACAGGTAGAAAGCCCGTGGACCATACAATGCCTAAAGGACAACAAAGTCTTGTTACATGGGTATTTCACTCAACCCTACTCCATCTTCTCTCTTCCCCAATTTTCTTGAAATATGAGTATTCTTGTAGAGTGGTTAGTTTCCAATTATGACTATATCAAATTGGTTGCAGGCCACACCTAGATTGAGTGAAGACAAAGTGAAGCAATGTGTGGATCCCAAGCTAAACAACGAGTACCCGCCAAAGGCAGTTGCCAAGGTTCTTAAATAAACCAATTTTGAGCATTGTTAACCACAATTTCTTCCTTTCATTAGTTGTTGCAGCAATTCGATTCTAAGTTGTGACGTCCTATTTTGTTCTTGTGGTGATCGAATGTTATTTAGCTAGCCGCCGTGGCTGCACTTTGTGTCCAGTACGAGGCAGATTTCAGGCCAAACATGACGATTGTTGTGAAGGCTCTTCAACCATTGCTCAACTCCAAACCTGCTGGTCCAGACCCTACATCTACTGCATAATGGAGTGGAAGTGATCAATCTGATTCTATTGCTAACTTCAAGAGCGTATACTAACTCGGTAGAGAGAGAAGGAGAGAGTGTGAGAGCTGGGGATATTGTGTTTATAGTTAATTTTTCAAATATATCTATATGGAGAGAAGAACATAACAGGTAAAAGTCAGGGAGTGATTTGGACCAAACTAGACAACTTGTATGCAATTGGTGAAAAAACTTTATGTCATCTAGAGTGTGAGATTATGCAATTTGAATGCACATAAATTTGTTTATTGTTTCATCAGTTGTTTTTTTTTTCCACCAACCACATAACCTTTATAATAGTTTACTTGTGTTTGAAAATAGGGTTCTAAATTGAAATGAAATTAGTAGATTTATACTTAGAGTGGTTTGGGTCTTGGGACCCAAATCTCACTAATACAAGTGTTTGGTTGAATTTATTGTTCGGTTACCAAAAAGAGTGGTACCATGTTCATGGATTTTTTTTTTTCATTTTTGGTTTCAAATTTACAGCTTCGTAAATTTAGAAAATCCACAAAATATCCGTAATTTGCAAAAACTTGATTGAATATTTGATGTTTAAAATTTATAATCAAATAAGGTAATTTCATTCCATTTTAAGTGCAATAAGGTAATTTCATTTTTAAATTCATAAATCCAATTCAATAAAACCTATCTTTAAGTCCAGTAAACAAACAAACTAAATTTAAATCCACCAAGCACATCACCAATCATTCATATTTCAAATCCAATATTTAATACAAATCTTAATATTTCAAATCCAACAAGAAAAGCGGAAAAAACATGACGAGAGTTTTTATTTCAAAGTGGACAAATGGGAGATGAATTGTCATCTTCGTAACTCTTTAAAAGGGAAAAATAAATTACAATGAACATGGAAAGTCTGATGGGAGCCCATAAAATGAAATTGGGGCCCTATAATTGTTATCAAAGAAGGAAGCCCATGAAATTGGAACAATATTTCTTACTTATACTATGATTGTTTTAGAGTAACGTTTTTACACATAGAATTCAGTATGATTGACAAATTTCCATGTCATTTTACTCATATAGTTTTTTTAATAACTTATTAGGTTCCACTAAACTAAAACTAAATAGGCATGTAATCATCATCACTAAGATTTAAACTAGCAACCTATGATTTCAAATCATTATTGTGCCTTAGACATTTAACTAATAGGCTACATTCTATTTGATGATACTAAGCAAAGTAAGATTAATAGTCATGTTATGAAATGAGTTTAAATCATTGTATCATTTGTATGAGTGTTACATTTGGAATGAATATCAATCTTATGAAAAAACGATTTTAAGATGTGAAAATAGTACAAAACCAACTTTCATACTATCGAGGTAAGTGTTCTAATGGAAAAATGATGGGATTCGAAGTAGAATGCAAGAGGAGGCCACGTCAGTCCCCATCGCCGCAGCACCGTCGCTCCCCTTCTACTTTAAAAGGGAAAATTTCAGTCATCCACACCCCATTCACTTCCATTTTTCACTTCCCCCCTCTCTCAAGCCGAAAACCCTATCCTTTCTCTCTGAGTTTCAATTTTTCTCCCAA